CTCTCCTAACACTTGTGGTCGGATCTCTATCAAACTCACGCAGAATCATACGGGTAAATCTGCGCTGACGAACATTTATGTTTTGATCCCTTTGGAGATTTCCAAAACCATTTTCAATTATTTGGCGATGCACTCTTACAAATACTGAGCGAGTTGGATGTCCTCTGTTTGGAAATCTTCGTGCGTATTCTCTGGCTCTTCTGCTGCGTTTCCACTTACAAAGCCATACACAAAATGAATATCCGCTAACTCTTGATTGGAGAATAAAAATGGCATTTTTATAAAACTTACAAGAAAAACAGGTAAAAGAAACTAAATTTCGTGCATTCACAGTTGCAAAAAAACGTTTCAGGTTTCAACAGACAACAAAACTAACTGTCAACTAATTGACGTTGAACCTTATTCTGCTTTCAATTTCAAAAATATTTGCAGGCACAGCCTACTACTAAAAATTATGGAGATACTGACTTTTTAACATTATTTTATCATAAATAATTAAAAATGCATCGAACCTTAAAATTCGAAATATCTCAAAAACAGCAAACTGTAACGAAAATTCACAAGAGAGCTTTTTTATGTTGAAAAGTGCGAAGAATCAGTTTCTTTATTCAAAAAGCAAAAAATTGCACTAAGAAAAAATGTTCGGTCTTTTTAATACACTACAGGTACAGTAGAGAGCGCCCTCTAGCGGCTACAGTAAAACTATGCCCATGGTTCGTTTTATCGTACCAAAAAACCTTTGTGTACCAATTTTCACTGTTATACATCAGATATAGTTCGAAATATTTAAAAAAAACTATTTTAGAAAGTAAATTTAAACACCCTGTATTTCGGAAGCCACGCATTTTTCGACCCATGTTTATATAGACGCATTAATTTTAAAGGTATAGCTTTAAGAGCTAATGGCTAAACTGGGAGCGTATAAATATGTTAATATGCTTAATCCGAGCGTTACTTCCCAAGTCGTAAGATTGGCGGACAGACCGACATACCAACAGACAGACAGACCGACGGAAATGAGTGACATAGTTTTTCGTAATGTGTATGTTACATTGTTATGTAACATCCGAAAAACATAGCATCTGATTTTCGAAAATTTAAAGACAATTTTAAATTAGTTCAACATACTATGAGATATGAGGGAAGGGCATGATATAATGCGCCTATGTTACGGCAGGGTTATTACGTAAAAAACCTATATAATTGAAAAGATATAAGATGAAGTTAATGTCAGCTAGTACAAAGGTGACATTTGATAGTAAAACCTACATAATGTGAAAAAAATGATATAAATAATGTCCGTTGACAGTATGATGCACTTTTGTCATTTTCAACTTCTGCCAAAGCCTGCTATATACTTAATTACGTTTTAAGCTATGGCTAGTAGAACATATAAGTTCTGAGATTTTTTCACGTGTATACCTCCATATAGGAGAACCCTTACAATGTCCAGACTGGAAATCTAATCCATTTACCTACGTACATGAACGAGTACCTATTTAGGGCAGAAACATCAATACTCATAACTTGATGAGGCTAGCAGTAGGTATATTATTAATCCCTAGATAATTATATACAATGTCAGGAAGCAAATAAAATTTGATATTTTAGCCGTCTAGTCCAGTCAAAGTGGCATTTCAATCCGTGCGGATTACATTTCGAGGTGGGTCTTTCCTGTTTTCTACTTTTTTCTATTGCAGGTATTCAAAATACTGTGTAATAATAATAATATGCATATGAGCCACTCCGATGAACATTTCTTAAAAAAGGCAAATTTAGAATATTTCGCCATTTTTCTCATGCCTCATATTATATCTTGAAAAATAAGGATTTCGAGCAAAAGTGAAAAGGAACGTTCACTTGTTTCAAGTAGACACACCTGAATAAACAGAGTGGCTGACACTTTGTGAAACAATTTAGTGATTTTTTCTGACATTGTTAATCGTTGCAGCTAATGAAATTCTAGATTTGACTATTTCATTGTATTATCATAAAAACTTGAAACATTATGAACATCCAGTAGAAGAATTTTAATTTTGTCCCGTTGACGGTTTTTCAACATCCTGTACAGTTGGCTGACTCAGAGCATATGCCTCCAATTATCTACCTATTTCTTCTGTCACACTCTATTAGGTTTCAAAAATCGAAATCGTTGTCACAATTTGAAAATTCAACACGGTAGTTATACAAGGTGACACTGACTGCCTCCGGGATAAGACTTTTTCAGGCAGACTGTTTGCTCATATGTAACGTTGAAAGCGGTGAATGAATGAATGAATGGGTTAATAACTAAGCTAGAGGCATACCACGGATATCATGTAAAAAACCTATAAAAACGTCAAAAAACCTATAAGATGTCAACTTGCAGACTAGGTAGTTTTTAGGGCACAAACAGTCATTCCACGTTTGCTCGCTAGGATCGTTGTGAACGTCCATCTATGGAGGAATCACTCAACTAAACTACGCATTATTGGTTGCATAGTTTTATGAGACTGAGTGATCCGTGTCTGTAGTTTTTATCTCTGAGAAGAAAGCTGGTTTAACAGCAAGATCGCATCTGGATGACATGTGTATGGGTCTGCATGTGTATTAAATCAGTGATATTTGCTGTGTGAGAAAATCATTACTGAATATGCCGAATATGACGGGTTATTTATATGTTGTGCTTTCTGAAAAGAGGTTATGTTCAAAGTTATAAATTACAAAAAACTGAGGAGAATTACGGGAAATCATCTCCGCGCCCGCGTTGTGTGTAATTACTGTTAGCATGTATATGGCTTGTAATTCGACAGTGTACAGTGAATATAATTATTTCTTATTTCTCTCATTTTTGAAATTCAGCAAATTTGTATATGTAATTTCCAGAATGGATAAGAAAAAGTGGATGCGCAACTAATTTCTAGCTTTGAATCTCAATTAAGTGTATTTGAGACAAGAGAACCCAATGTAATTATCATCAACACATACAACTTACAGCTTAGACCTCCAGTAATGTCATCTCAGAAGCAGATTTTACATCACATCAGTGCCAAAGATTGATAACAAGCCTCATGACGTTTAGGCAACGCGTACAACTAAGTGCTAAGTTGACATCTTGCAGAATAACCTGCATAATGTCAAAAAAATCGGCATTATGTCACTTTTCAACGTGATACCCGTGCTGGTCACCATGAAGAGCATAAGCCGCATAAGTGGACCATTACATTCCCTAAGGCTCAAGCTAGACTCTTCTAGCAAACTTCGGTATAGTCCTAAGTCCCAGCCCAGCTCCTTAACATTCTGGGAATCCAAAGTGTTGGACCTCAGTATAGTCTGCTCAGAGCCTCACAGCGACAGAGAATATTCACCGGGGACGCTTCCTCTACCCCGCAGCGCTCATACATGGGATCCTCAGCCACCCCCATCACATGCAGGTGACGTGTCACTGTGTTGTGGCCAGGCAACACTCCCACCAACAACCTGAGGTATACGCTATCCAAAGGTAAGAGCGTCCATCCTTAACACTGGGGCCCTATGATGAGCTCCTGTGCCTGACGGATATGTCTAGAGATGCTTCTCCATTTCTAAGAGTGTTGTCAAGCAATCCACTTGTGCATTTTCCTCCTGAGTCTTTACGCGGGCTGGTTCAGGACCAGCAAGCCTGCTCGCTGATCCTGCTTTCGCCAGTGCGTCCGCCATATCATTGCCCTTTATCCCAACGTGACCCAACACCCACATCAACGATACCAGATGCCTCGCTGCTAGACTATCGAGAGCCTCCCAGCATTGCAATACAAGTAATCTTGCCTGAGTGCCTTCATCGTAGCCTGACTGTTATTCTTCTCCTGGGCCCTTCTCACAGTAGAATATCCATCAGAGCTTCCACTGCACTCAATTGAGAGCAGTATAAGGAGATGCGTTCTTAGAATATTCAAAATTATACTGGGTGTCCTGTTATTTCCAGGATAGATGGCCTAATTTTTTTCATATTTCGATTGGCCCTTTGGAAATAAAGCCATGTACAGATATGTAACAACACCGCGAACCGAACCACGCGACAGACCGCAGCGCGCCCATTTTGACGAACAACATTGCAACTGACGATCCAATTTTGATGTTCGTCGTTCAGTGAAAGACGAATACTAGCGGAAATGGATATAGCAGTAGCAGCAGCTGCCTATATTTATATTCACTACTAATTATCCAAATACAAACGGCGACGACGACGTCCGAGACGTTGGTGGCAAACGCAGTTATATACCAATAGGTCAGCACACGGCTGCAACAATTTGATAGCGGAAATGAAACTTCAACAAGTAGGTGGACAGTACAAAAATTTTACGAGGACGTCTCCGACGGATTTTGGATATCTTCTCACGTTGATTGGACCAAAAATTCGAAAACAAGATACAAAGTGGAGAGCTGCCAGTATACATGTTTCGAATTTCAAAGCAATCGATCACTTACATCATTCCAGAAGTTTGTGAGGGATTGATCGAAGTTTTAAACGAAAATATACAAGTAAGAAAAACAATTATTTACTTCGTAGTAAGTACATTACAAAATAACACATTGATACTCGCCGCACCATTCCTTTGATCTTGCGCTGATAAACCGACAGAGCCTAGATCGGGCCGAACATCGAGCTGTAACGCTAATCAGGTTCGCGACGGCGTCTTTTCACCGTCTACATTAGCGCGGCGGAATTCGTCGCAGTGTTGTTACATATCTGTACATGGCTTTAGAATATTTGCTTGGAGATTATGACGATGGGTTGCTAAGCTACCAAAATTTTCTCTGGAGAACTCAGGGCAAGCCAAGCCTCTTCAATTTTATAGTTGTATTTTGCGAGAATGTGGAACAATTTATCATTGTCTAGTGACAGCATCGGTACTCAGATACGAGTATTAATGTTCAGACTTAGCGGCTGCAAAATTGTAATAAGAACTTGTAAATAAAAAAAAACGTTCCATTTAAATTAAGCTTAAACTTTTTGACATTGAAAATGTTGCAATACTCACCTAATTTCGTTATATCCCTGTTCTCCAAAAACAAAAGCGGATTTTCTTCTAGTTGCTTCCAAATAAGGCCCAGGATCGTAAGTCATAGTAACGAAACTCGTATCCAATATGTCAGGCGCTGACCTATTTTTGATTGGCAAGACGATATTGTTGAAAATGTCATCGTCGCTTAACTCTTCTTTATGCAGCTCTGCGATGTTTGTTGTTGTATCATCGGCAAGGTTTAGTACCTGTTCTGCGTTGGCTATGGATGACTTTCTCGATGATTTTAGATTTCCAAGAGCCTCTAGGCAATCCTGGTAATCGTTGTAGTATTCGTTTAAGCATTTTCTGTAGCTGCGTCGTTTGAATTTTGTACTTCGTCTAAAAACAGAACATACAGATTCAAAAAGGCCGCTTCTTTCCACTCATCTTTTGAACGGCACCGGTATTACGCATTTTGGAAAGTGACATTTTGTCGGTTTTTGTCTTGGTTTTTTTACAATATGTTGTTTTAGCACAAGCTGTTGTACACTTGTGTACTCGTTTTGTAGCTGTACGTGTTGCTTAAAAGTCAGCGAACTGCGATCATAGCACCTAAGCAAACGTGGAATGAACTATTTGCACACTAAAAACTATCTAGTCTGCGAGATGACATTTCCTCGGTTTTTTTGTTGACTTTTTTAGGTTTTTTACATAAAAGAAGTGCCGCACGGATATTACGTAAAAACCCATAAAACGTCAAAAAAACTATAAAATGTCATCTTGCAGACTAGGTAGCTTTTAGGGTGGAAACAGTCATTCCATGTTTGCTCACTAGGATCATTGTGAGCGTCCATCTATGGAGGAGTAGCTCAACTGCACGCATTGTTGGTTGCATATATTTTATGAAACCGAGTAGTTTATAGTTTTCATCTGAGAAGAAAGTTGGTTGAATAGCAAGATCGCTTCTTGATGATTGTGTGTATTGGTCTACATGTGTATAAAATCAGTGATATTTGCTTTGTGAGAAAATCAATACTGAAGTATATCTATTAGCTGTGCCCGACGGATTATTTTTTATATGTTGTCCTTTCTGAAGACAGGTTATGTTCAAAGTTATAAATTAGGATTTTCTTAGGTTTTTTTATGTTTTCAAAAACTTTGAGGAGAATTACGGGAAATCACCACCGCGCCCGCGTTGTGTGTAATTACTGTTAGCATGTATATGACTTGAAATTCGACAGGGCACAGTGAATACAATTATTTCTTGTCTCTCTCAGTTTTGAAATTCAGCAAACGTCCATATGTAATTTCCAGAATGGATAAGAAAAGGTGGATGCGCAACTAATTTCTAGCTTTGAATCTTAAGTAAGTGTATTTGAAACAAGAATTTAATGAAATTATCATCAACACATTATTAGCACACAAATGCTCACTATGCACATATGCATTGCCGTTATCTCCAGTAATGCCATCTCTGAAGCAGATTTTACATCACACCAGAGCCAAACATTGATAACTGAAGCCTCGTGAAGTTTAGGCAACACGTACAACTAAAAAAGGAGTTTACAGCATGTCCATCAGCTAGTGCTAAGTTAACACCTTGTAGAAAAACCTACATCATGTCACAAAAAACGAATACAACGTAAAAAAATCGACATAATGTCACTTTTCAAGATTCGTAATACCCGTGTCGGTCAAGTTATCAAGCTGAAATTTGAGCAATAAGGTTAATGCATGTATGCTATATTTTAGCGTAAAAGTAGCGTCTGGGCGCCATTTTTGAACAGTCTTCGAATGGAATGGGAGGTTGTATGATACATTTTGAAGCTCCTTTCTAGTACTTTATAAACCTGATATATAAAACTACCATCTTTCAAAATGGCGAGCTGTGAGGCTATCAAATGTGAGTGTTATTCTACCTCGAGTCGCTTATAACTAGTCAATCGATCATAGAATGATATAGTATCTATGTTATACCATTTTTCTCTGCCAAAAGTATACTTGAATATGCAATAAAATATGGAACATTCTATTCAAAAAGTTGTCAAAATCCTTCAATTTTTTAAACCAAGTGTGTCATATTTTTTTGCATATCCAGCTAGACTCTTACAAAAGGAGAAGTTTGATATAATACAGGGTGTAAACGTTATGGTAGTCATTATTGAAATGGGTAATAGGGGGGAGTCAAAACAAGTCGGAAAGTTCATATGACCCACGGTCCAAAAGTCAATAGATTTTTGTCTAAATGGCTTTATAGCTTACAACTTTAAGTGCCTTATATCGACCACAATCACCACAATCTTACTAATTTTCATAATCTAATCTAAAACGTTTTTAAATTGGATAATTAACAAATAAATGGCATTAAGTTTTTCTAAGTTAAGCCAAAATTTGTAGTCAGTAGGTAAATTTCATTGAATTAAATATTTAAAACACACATGACAACAGCGCGTCGGTCATCATCACCCTTATGGAACCGGCAATCGATCGCAAACGGTAACAGGGTTAGTTATAGGGCATCAAATGTTGTTTACAATGTTCTCGAATCAAGAGTTCGCCGAGATGTTGTTAGTTTACGGTGAAGCTCGTCAGAATTCAAATCTTGCAGCTCAAATTTATCGAAACAGATTTCGCCAACGGGTACACCCAGACAGAAGGACATTTGTGCAAGTATACCAAAGACTTCGAGATACAGGAAGCGTTCAGCCCACTAATATTCGCACTCGTGAAAGACAGGTTACTGTAGAGCAGGAGGAACACATTTTAAATATCGTGGAAATCAATGCAGATATCAGCACTCGGGAATTAGGCCGCCTAGTAGGACTATCGCACAAAAACACACAGACGAATGTACTTTTACTCACACGTGGGCCCAAGGGAATCCTCATACCATTCGTGAAGGTCATTTCCAGCAACGTTTTAAAATAAATATTTGGGCGGGCATTCTTGACGATCAGGTAATGACCCTTTCGAGCTACCCCCAAAGTTGTCAGGAGAAGGATACCTTAGCTTTCTAGCCAATAACCTACCAGAACTTTCGGAACAGACCTTAGACAACATGCCATTATAACGGAGACAGAATTTGTGGTTTCTTCATGACGGGCACCACCACACATTTTTAGAGGCGTCATTCAGTATGTGAATGAACATTATCCAAATCGCTGGATCGGTCGGAATGCTCCTGATCCTCGAAAACGGTTCAATCTCCAAAAACGCTAACTTAGACAGCCTTCTAGTTCGCGATTTTGAAAGCGATTTCATATTTCAGAACGATAAAGTGCTGATACAGAGCCCTAAAATGAGATATCGCGTGACCCCCTATTCTATTTGAAAAATATTCCAAGATAGCGTACGACCACCATTTTGAATATTTTGAACTGCCACTTTCACTATAAAATATGGTATTCATGCATCAACTTCATCACGTCATTTTCAAGCTTGCTAACTTAACCAGTTCAAAAGCTCAGTAGCGGAAAGACCTTTTTGAGAAGGACTGTGTAGTATCAATACTCGGATAGCAAATAGCGAAACGCCCAGTTCATTTTCGCATATCCAAATTCCAGATACATTAACTGCCATGTATGGCTAGCAATAGGAAAGGAAATAAATGTCGAGTAGCTGTACAAAGGGTATTATAAATGTTTTGCAATATGACTTAACAAACGGACGTAGGAAGCTGCATGTTAAGACATGTCCATGAGTGCATAGTAGCCGTCAGCAGCACGTCTTTTGATTTAGTTGTTCATTCGTATTGACAATGTAAAGTGCGGACTATGGCATCGTGGTCACGTAGTGAGATAAGACCAGTTTTAGGGTATACCTTTACGCGTAGTTTAAGCATAGACCAGTGCTTACAGGTGATACAGAGAATTCCAAAGGGGCAATTTCATTCTGGAGGACGCTGAGAGGGGATGAAGGCCACGAACGTCAGTATCAGAGGAAAACATTACTGCTGTAAGGAAAATGCTTGACGAAGACCGGAGAGTGACATACCTACAGATAGAGAAGACCTTACACCTTCATGCACCAGCAATTCATTCAATTCTGCATGACCGTTTACCTAAACTTTGTTCTCTCTGGGTACCACATAGTCTGACGGAAGAGCAGAAGAGTCGTCGTACGACTTAGTGCCGAAAGATGCTGAAAATGTTTGATAACGGGCAATCTCGGTATGTGAGCAGCATCGTGACAGGTGAGGAGACTTGGCTTGATTATTACGAGGTGTCGACTGAGGCTCAAAACAAAGTTATGAAAAAGATGATAGCTGTATTTTTCAAATCGAGCGGGATTGTGGAGCGTGTCGCTTTGGACAGACAGAAGACAGTCACAGCTAAGTGGCACACGGAACAGTGCCTGCCTAAAGTCATAGAGTCTATGAAAAACCTGCGGTCAAAGTCAAGAATGTGGCACACGGAACAGTGTCTGCCTAAAGTCATAGAGTCTATGAAAAACCTGCGGTCAAAGTCAAGAATGGTACCTCCACCATGACAACGCTCCATCTCATCGCGCCAAAGCCTGCACCGAGTATTTGACCACTACTGGACTGAAACTTATTGAGTAGCCTCCTTACAGTCCAGATCTTGCTCCTTGCGACTTTGCACTGTTTCCGTATGTGAAAATGAAGCTAAAAGGTTTTCTAGCTATGAGGACCTTCTGAGGGCTAGCGACAACGAGTGTACCGGGTGAAACTTGGCAGAGCTGGACTAAGGACTGGCTTTGGCAGAGAAGTGTATTGAATGTAGTAGAAATTACTTTCAACGAAGTCAATAAATAAATCTGTATTGCAAAACTTTTATAGTACCCTTGGTGCTGGCCAATAACCCCACCTGCATAATACTGTGAGCTTTGAAGTCCACGTGTCTTCTAAAGCTAACTGTGGAATGACCTTAGCCCATGGGCTCTTGTGTTATTATTTTCTGTAGGTTTGACTTCATACTTACTCGAATTTCTGCGTATTTTGACTATCCTCAGCCAGCACATTTGGTTCACTATAGCTCTTCGTGACGTCATTGGATCCTACCGTAGGATACTGTACCAAGAAGAATTCATCTTCCTCCAATACGTCCAGACTGTTGTCGTACGACTTGAGTTGATTATCCATTGGCTTAGTGTCAAGACAGATATGCCTAGCGTTCGATGTTTCGATGTTCAGACAAGGCTCCGACACTGCTGTTAAATTGGTAGCTGAAAAATAATGAAAAAGCTCCATAGAACACTTTTGCATTTATTAGAATGAAACCTTAAATTTTCATGAGTATTGAATCCTCATCCTCAGTACGATTGTACTACTGTGCTGCAAAAGTTTCTTATTGCAACCTTCTAACCCTTTTACTTCGCCGAATCGAAAAAAGTGGCATCAAGCAGGTTAACTCTATTTAATTCCTAACAGGAATAAGTCACTTACGAACATGTACAACAGAGAAATTAAACGGAAGAAGTCAGTCAAACAGGCCCATATAATTAATCGACAGACAGTCTATCTCTACCCTACCAGCAGTTCCTGTCCATCTGGCAACGTTGTCTCTCTCGCACTGCGCAGTAAGTACCGGTATGCCGGGCGGTGAGCTTATATAGCAGAAGTACGCGGATCGAAAACGTTCATTTATTCTGATATTCATTTGTCAAGTTTTATAGGCAAATGTACGGGGAAATCTATGATCTGTAAAATATGGCTAACAGGTGCGTCGAATTGCCGGGTCTCGCAGTCTCTATTAATCAGCATTGGTTTATGAGAGGCAGATCTACGGTCACCAACTTGGCTCTAATTACTCAGTACATTTCTGAAGTACTGGACGGTCAGGGACAAGTTGATGTCATCTACACAGATATTCAGAAGGCGTTTGATCAAGTTGATCATTATGCACTTCTGGATAAGCTTGAAACAGTGGGTATGTCTGATGCAGTGCTGCCGCTCATGAATTCATATTTGAGGGATAGAAGGTTATTTGTCGAATATGGTGGCCATAGGTCGAGTTACTATCGGGCCACGTCTGGGGTACCTCAAGGGTCAAATCTAGGTCAATTATTGTTTTTAATATTTATTAATGACTTGTCTTTTGAACTGAAGTGTTTCCATTTGTTTTTCGCTGATGACCTTAAAATCTGCATGTCAGTCAAGACAGTCGAGGATTGCGTCATGTTGCAAGATGACTTAGCTCTAATTTCGTCATGGTGTTCACGAAACTGTCTCAGTCTGAATGTTTCGAAATGTAAAGTTATGACTCATACAAGAAAAGTTAACTATTTAATTTATGATAATTATAACATCAATGGTCAGGTTATAGACAGATGCACCTCTTATAGAGACCTTGGAGTCATTTTTGATACCAAGCTAACGTTTGCTGAGCATATACTCAATATCTCGTCGGCTGCCACTCGACTACTTGGTTTCTGTATCAGAAACTGGAAGGGTTTCTCCAATGTTGATACATTAATGACTTTATTTTTTACTTTTGTCAGGAACAAGTTGGAGTATGCGACTCTGATCTGGTCTCCTATATACCAAAATTCTGTCGTGATCCTTGAGGCCATTCAACGTAAAGCTTCAAAGTATTTTCACCTTAAATGCACAAGTTCTTATCCAGAAAAAGGTTGTGACCATAGTGCCCTATTAGAGTTTTTCAATTTGGATTCACTGTCAACAAGACGAAACATATTTGCTTTGTCATTTTTGTATGGCCTCATTCACAATAAAATTGACTGTCAAAATTTACTTGAAAAAATATGTTTCCGCGTTCCAAGGCTAGGGAGTCGACAACAAACGGCATTCTATTATCAAGCTGGCCGTAAAAATGTTATGACAAAATCGCCAATTAATCTCATGTGCTGCGTCATGAACAGTGTTACTGAATCGTGTGATATTTACAGTGACAGTTGTGCATCGATTATTAACTGCTACAGATCATCCAATCTTATTTAGAATGTGTGATACTATAGATTTAAGTCCAAGAACCATGTCTCTTTAATTGTTATTTTTTTAAGCGTTTGCTGTAATTGGGTTTCACCTGTTGGAAATAAATAAATTAAAAAAAACAAGATTTGAGCGGTTTTTATTTTTTTTTTTGTATTTGGCTTTTTTCTCTGCCGCCTTTGGTCCGATTCTGAAAAACTACAAAGCTTTTTCATCCTTGCATTTAGCAATCGGGTGTGAAAATATTATCAAGCTATAGACGGGCCAAGGATTACCGGACAGGCAGGCTGACAGACAGACCGACGGAAATGAGGGACATGATTTTTCGTGATATACGAGTACATGTCATAAATCATTATCTCGTTCTCGAAATTTTCCACGATTAGAATAATTAGGGAAGTAGAAACACATAGCGCCAGACAGATGTCTGAACTATCAAAAACAATACATACCTTTCGGATTTATGCAAAGCTGTGCCATTTTTATCTCTCCAACTTCATCAGTAACATGTATCGGATCTTCTATAACTGATATGTCTTCTACAAAAGCAACAGCTTTTCCATTAGGTTCCGCCTGTTTGTTTCCTAGCAAATGCAAAACTTTTTCCTTTTCTTCTTCTTTTTTTAGATTCAATAATTGACTCGTTGATTTGGCATGATCGTTGTTACGCTCGATTTTGTCTGTATGATGAGGCTCGGTCTTAAACTCATCAAAGTTTGATTGGATTGTACCGCTTTTGACTTTTGTTGTTACATCTTCCGATAACGATTCTTCTATACATGTATCATATCTGGAAAACAGTAGTTAATCATTAAAAGCATTGTGAATGTGTCGTGAGACGTATTTTATACAAAAAGCTCAAATGATTATTATCTTTGTTGAAGATTCATGTAGCATTAATGCTACAATGTCAGGTTTGTATAATTATTCGTTTACACATTTTGTTGAATCAATTTTCAGTAATTTTACATTCTTGTCTATTCAAATTAAATCACCATGCATTTTCATTATTCATAAAATGATTTTTAATTTCATCTTAAACATTTTTAGATTCTTACACTGTGTAGCATTATTCAAGTTATTAAATTCAACTACTCCCTTTTGAAATACAGGATGCTAGTTGTGCTACTATTACAATTTTGCAGATAAAAATCTATAATGCCTCTAGTTTCGTAATTATGATAATGACTATTTAATTTTGTAAAGATTTCTAAATGTGGGGTAATAAATGAAAATATGTTGTCATTTTCTGTAAACAAGATGGTTGAACAATATAAAAGATGAGGAAGAATTATAGTGTTATACAAATTTTTTTCGAAATACATTCTGGGATTATGGGAAACTCTGTAGATGTAATTCATGTTTTTTGATATTTTTTAAATAATGTATTTATTCGTAATGCTCTTGAAACAGTAGTTTACTGTCCACATACATACCCAGATATTTGAATGATTCGACTACTTCAATTTTTTCCTCATCAATCATGAGCCTAATTGTATTGTTGTTGACATTTTGTTTTATTGGTTTAGTTTATTAACATTTAACCAATTCATATTCTATTACGTAATACTTCTAAAGCAGTGTCAAAATGTTTGTTTGCTGTGTATCATCCACAAAAATTTAATTTTGCAGTGCTGCTCTAAAATGTCAGAGATATCATTTGTACCTACTGATATATTTTCTTCACATATTATTTCCAACTTTATTTTTTTACTTTTTGCTGAATAATTTTATAAAATGTTTATTACTCATCCTTTAAAACCATAATGATGCAATTTCTTTAACAGTGTTTCCCTATATATAGTCTCAAATGCCCTTTTGAAGTCTAAAAATATTGGTTTCTTCAACGAATTCAATGATTTGTTCGTATATTATCCCTAACAGCTTCTCGACATCTGGCAAGACATCAATCGGCTGCATATTTGTATATAGCTCTGAATGTTTAACTTTTGACCCATGAGTCATTACTCAACACTTTAATTTTGATAGGAATTCACCATGATAATGTCTATCCAATTCTATTGAAACAATCATTTAGAATCTTTTTTGACAGATTTACTGCTATCAATCTTATTATCATAGTATTTTTTCTTTTCCCTCCCGAGAACTGCTACACGCTAATTTTTTGATTTTGTATATTGTTTCTAATCATTTTCACTTTGGGTTTGTTAAACATTTTCTGCAGTGGTTATCGCACTACTACTTAAATATCTGTGAAAACTAGGATTCACTCTTTCACATACTATTTTCTTGACTATAGCTTCTCTCATATATTTGTCCATATTATCCATAAGAATTTGTCGGCATTATTGATAAAATATAATATCTCAACCATCATATTGCAATTAGTAAAATTTCAAATGATTATATCACAGCTGAATTGCAATTAGTAAAACAAAGTCGTCATCTTTATACTTAGAAAAGCTCTTGAAATATTTCTGAAGATACCAACGACCGAGCAAACAACAACACAAATAAGTTCAATTAGTCAAAACCAACCTAAACTAACGTCTTTCCAAAGAGCAAAATATTTTCAGTAGCTCTACTCACCCATCCTTGTCTGAATGTGTCAGGCTATCAGCCCTGCAAGATCCATTTTTATTCAGGTTTTTCTTATTTTCAACTTTGATTATGGTTTCGTTTATACTTTTGTAGCTCAAATCAAGATCGCTGTCATTCGCGATGTTATTTTCTACATGCAGTTTGTTGAAATTCGTCAATTCCGTTTCGATACTATCTAAAAAAATATATTTTCAGAAATATGTATGTAGACATACTAAAAAATGTTCTTCATTTTAGATTGTAGAATCAAAAATTGAAAAACCCTTCCTCAGATAAAATGAATCAAACCATTTGAAGAGCACACGGAAAAAACGGTCCAAAATATCGAAAATCGGGATTACTACGCCAAACGGTAGTTTAGTATAGTGAACCATTGAAAGACCGATCGAAATCCCTTATATTTGCGTTTAAAAATGAGCGTACAATGAAAGAGCGATCTAAGTCATCCCAATTTACGGATGGGAATCCTTGTAACTGTAAAACTCGTTTTCGAAAATTGAGCGATGGCGAAAAAAATAATATTGTAAGAGCGTTCAATTTACTAGACAACAGAAATTCGCAGAACAGACATTTAGCTGGGTTAGTTTCTATGCTGCCAACTAGAAGACGTCGGCCACGGAAGAGTGAAGATAATGCAAATTTGAGATCCATTTCGTTACAAAATAAGGATTCGAAATGAGTTGAATGATGGATTCCATGAAATGTCAGCAAGCACATGAAATAATAAACAGGAGACTAATAACGATAAAAAGTGGTCTTCAAAGGCAGGGCAGGTCAGTTGCCTATATGAGAGGTGAGTTGTGTATACTACAGAAGCTGGAATATAAAACTTGTATAACTTTCAAATCGTAGGTAGTCATCAAATAAGTTATGAATCTTACAGACTAATTTTCACCACAAAATTCAACATTGGATTCAGATACTTGCAGTTACTGTGACGAAGTTAAAGTCAAAAAATATTCCTTGCAAACTCAACTAAAAAACATTGGTGCTGAAAACCAAGAAAATAAGTCAGATATAGAAAAACGGATGACAGCAATTGAAGCTGAACACAAATTATACAAACTTAAAGCGGAAAACTTTTACACAAGGAAACGTAATGCTAAGAAAAATTCCCGAAAACAACTGAGCCATGAAGCTATAACAATCGATTATCCAAAGAAGCTACCAACGCCGGACATTACAACTAATGACGTTTATTATAAACGGCAATTGACGTTCGTAAGCTTTGATATCCATATCCTTTCATCAGGGCAATCTATTTTTTACACATACCCGCAAAATATTGCTAAAAGAGATGATGTTGTATCGCTTTTGAACCATTTTTGTTTTAATATCCTTGACTCAGGAGTACGACATTTAGAGATCTTTTGTGATTCCTGTGCTGGCCAAAACAAAAATTATACCCTGATAAGATTTTTGCATTTCTTGGTCCATCAAAAAAAACGCTTTGACTGTGTGATGGTCACATTTCCTATAAGATGTCATTCATACCTTGAATGTGATAAGGACTTTGGTCTAATCAATCAAAAAAGTGAAGTTGATATCCCAGAACAATGGGTAGAAGTTTTTAAAAACGCCAGATGCAAACCACGACCATTTGATGTCGTAGAATGTAAGCAAGATATGTTTTTCGCCTTGACAGATTTTTTAGCACCATCCTACGAGAGGAAGTGCCCATTTTCCACAAGACCATTAAGAGAAATTCGCATAAGCCATGGACATCCAAGAACATTAGAAACAAGAGAAAATTATAACGGACCGCGACATAGCTTCATTATTGCGGGCCCAAATTTGACTTCGGACGGATTCCCAAAATTGTTATATAAGCAGGCCATCCCGATAATAAAGAGAAAATACCTCCAGCTACAGGACCTAAGGAAATTCGTTGAAGAAGTACATCAAAAATACTACATAGAGTTGCCGACAATAGATACCAATAGTCGCGATGATAAATTTGACGTAAGTTTACTATCCATTTTGATTTAAGCAAACTAAAGCATTTTCTTCGTTGCCGGCGCTATAAAGAAACCACACTTCACTTTGTTACTTGAAAAGAACTTCAAACAAATTTTGATATACTTAGATCCTTTTTTCCTTTTATTTTGTGTAGTTTCATTTGTTCTAATACCTGCTTTAGTTATGTTAAAACGATAATAAATCTCCTAGTTGAGACACATAGATAATTTAATTGTTTCAGTATGTAATAACGGGACAATTTCAAACTTTAAAACTGATTTATCTCAAAAGTTGTCAAAAGTGACTTAGATCGTTTTTCCCGTGTGTTCTTCGTTTATAATATAAAATGTATTTACCAAAATTCTGATCCTCCTTGCCCAACTCTAAAAAATCAACATCCTGGATAAAATTTTGTTTCTTTTTCGGCGATTTTCTCCCATATTCCTCGAAAGTGGAGGTGCATGGTGAGTGATTGAAGGGCAAGTCATCGTCTCCGTCGATACAAATATGGACAGTATCCAAACATTCTTGAAAATCTTCGATACATTCTTGGAAATCGTCTAGACAGGTTAATTGGTCATCTTCTGTATCCTGAAAATGCAAAATCGTCGTTTAAAACTCTAAAAGAATAATTTGCCTACCCTGCAGGTGGTAGGTCAGTTTTCCGTCGGGCAAGAAGGAACTACGCCATAGATGTCGGAGTAGGGTCAAAATGTGTGTATGAGTACAGCATAGTGCGTCCCAGATTCGCTTCTCTATACAGGGATCTCGGGTCCTGTTAGACCTACAGCAAAGGTTAAATGGGTGAATTTTTAGAGAAAACTCAGTGCCTTAGATAGCCGGCTTCAGATTTATGATCGGTCATTGGTTTTGAAAATATTAGCGAAAAACCTAAAATGGCGGAATTTGTTTTTTGCCAGTAAATCCCAAGCGGTTAATTTGACAGCTGTCAAAATGTGACATTATTCGGTCATTTTTTTAAGAAAGATAAGATAGCATGTATGAAATGTCTCAATAGTATTTTTTAAATGTCAAACTTTTCCTCATTTGAGTAGGGAATACCGGCCATTTTGAACAGGTTTTGACACTTTTTCTGTCAAATTTATGACTTTAATGAGAGAAAACGTACCTACTACTTATTAAAACACAATTTAAATATTTTGAATTATTTAACGTCAAAGTCGGAGCCGGCTTAGATGAAAAAAACTGCGTTACTTATTAATTTTATTTTCTGACAAATAAATCATGGCCTTCTTAGAAAAAAGTGTATACATTAAATTACGTGTGATGATATTTCGATGTTACTCCAATATTTTATACACTTGTGAGACATCACTAGGCTCAGGGTTACCAGATTGGGGGATTTTCCCCCAAATTTGGGGTATTTTTCATTGCTTGGGGGAATTTTTGGGGGTATACAATGCGTGGGGGATTTTTTGGGGGAAAATTATTCCGTTTTGGGGTTTTTTTGGGGTGCGATTTTAAGAAGACATTCTGTCGTCCGACCAATTTTCAAGTTTCAATTGAATTATTGGAATTCGAGAACAACTTTGAATAAATATAAATTCATTTACAGATAATCCTGTCATCTTTCAACAACTATTAAAATTATTCTGAAGCACCTACATTACAGTTTCCTTCAATAGCGGCAAAATATTATTTTGTTTTTGTGCGTTAGATGGCGCGATTAAATAAGTGTTTCTCATCTATGTGAAACCCAGAGAATCGTGTAACTTTATTTCCTTTCCTATCATTAACTTTATAGGCTATATTTCTTTTACTTTGGAGTGTTCAATACGCATGGTTTATCCAAATTAGTGTTGTACGTGTCAATCTAAATATGCCTAAAGAAAAGGAGTCGTTATATACCCGAAAATACCGAGTTGCTTGGGAATCCGATGCTGAACTTAAAGGTAATCTATTGAAATTTTGATGGTGTGGGTTATTAATTATAATTATTCATTCCATATAGGATGGATTGGTCCTGTATTAGCAGATGAGACAAAGTCGCTTTGTAAGATATGTAAATGTACTTTAGCTGCACATAAAAAAGACTTACTGCTTCACGGTAAAAGTAAGAAACATCAAGAGGCGGAGAAAAGATCTTTGACTGGCTCGAGTAAAAAAATTACTGAGTTTATGAAAAAAGGTTTGACCGCCAGCAGGAAAATAGCAGAATTAAAAATTGCTGCATTCATATGTGAGCACTGCTCACTTGCAACAATTGATCATCTTGGATCACTTTTAAAAAATTTAGATAAATCATCTGAAATATTAAATGACGTTAAATTACACAGAACTAAATGTACATCTTTAATATTGAATGTGTTGGCTCCTTCAATACTAAATGACTTACTTTTGGATGTTGCAGATAGTAAATATTCATTGATTATAGATGAGAGCACTGCAGTCGATTCCACAAAAATGCTATGCGTTATGATAAAATATTTTAGTAAAAAGCAAACTAAGATTGTTACGACTTTCTACAAACTTATCGAAATTGAAAAGGGAGATGCCATAACTATCTCGGCTGCGGTGACAAAACAACTGGAGCTAGACGGTTTAAAATTAGGGAATCTAATAGGAATCGGTGTGAATGGAGCCAATGTTATGGTTGGAGCGCATAATTCAGTAGCTTCTTTTTTGAAAGCAAAGAATAATGAACTTGTTATTATTAAGTGCGTCTGTCATTCTCTGCATTTGGCAGCAGAGTATGCATTTAAACTTCTACCTCGTCATTTGGACTTTATAATCAAGGAATGCCACAATTGGTTCTCTTGTAGTACAAAAAGGCAAATAGCATACAAACAAATATTTGAAACACTGACGGATCAAAAACCACTAAAAATTGACCAACTATCAGGAACCAGATGGCTAGCCAGATACAATGCGATAGTTAAAATTCTAGAACAATGGGATGCATTAAAAATACACTTTGGTATAGTAAAAGATAATGAAAGGTGTTATATGGCTGAACAGCTGTTTCAAATGTTATCGGACCAAACTAATGTATTATATTTCACCTTTTTGAGTTGGACATTGAAAGAAATAATTAGAGTTAATAAACTGTTTCAGTCAGAGTGTGCAGATCCACTGAAATTAATGGAAGATTTGAATTTATTACTTTTCAATAACCCAAGTATTTTAGTACCACCTATGAGACTTCAAAAAATTTCAAAAAATAACGTCGTTGATTTCAAATTTGAAGATTACATTATGGATATAGAATTGATAAATTTAGGATATTCGTTCAATTCAAAAGCGTCATCCTTAGCAATTAAACAAGATGAACTACTAATGGTGCGAACTAGATGTAAAGATTTTTTAGTGGAATTATGTCGACAAATTCAAATGAGAATCCCTGAAAGTATGAATATTTTGGAGAAAATAAATTCATTTAACCCCGAATTAGCTACATCCAAGATACGTCAACCTGAAATAACTAATATTGCTTTATCTTTCTCAACAATATGTCCTGACCTTGATAGTACAATTGCAGAATGGAAATCACTTCCTCGAATAAATTGGATAAACCTGCATGATACAGAAAAGTTTTGGGTTGAGGTGGCAAATAACGTCGATGCAGCAGGGGAACCTAGATATAAAAATATTTCATCATTAGCTCTTGCGTTACTTAGCCTTCCATTTTCTAATGCTTCAGTTGAGAGAGCTTTTTCCATTATAAATGTGGTAAAAAACAAACTTAGAAATCGCTTGGCGATTCATAGTACAGATGCTATCATGAGAGTTCGATGGTATCTGTGCAATTTAAAAAATGGTTGTACAGATTTTCAACCAACTGAAAATATGTTGCAATATTTCAATTCTGAAAGAATGTATGATTGCAAAAAGGAGGAGGAAGAAGTTTTAAATGCATTCTCGGAGCTGTAGCATACTACTCGTATATTATGATATATATAAGAATATTTGTTGTTAACGGCGCTCTCACAGTCAAGCAGAGTTTCTGAGGGGAATCGGGGGGGTGATAGGGAAAGGCTAGTAGGACGGCGTTGTGACAAGGCAAGCGCTCTACGTTAGAAAAGGATAGTAATACGCAGAGGTGTGCTGTTCGCGTGCCTGGTTGAATTTGCATATTGCACAGTCGGATTTGATTTGGATATACGATCTAGCGTACGACTGTTTCCCTATTTTGGCGCATAGTATACTCAGCCCTTATTACTCTTATTACCGTTATTGTATTGTATTATCGTGTTGTTATTGTTGTGCTGTTATTGTTGAGTGTCTTTCTTATCAAGGTATCAAAAATGAACAATAAGAGAAATAAACGTGGCGTCTCGAAGAAGCCGCATTTAAATACGCACAGGAAAAAAAAACGTTTTCCAGATAGAAAAGTAGGTACCAAAACAATTATGAATTTTAGCATTCATTTTGCCAATAAATTAGACTATACGTAGTTACTATTATAACTATATTTTATATGTTATTTTAGCTTAAAAATGACAGCAAGGTTTCGCATATGCATTCTCTAACAGAGACAGATGGCATGGATCTTCAAATTCAGGTGTGTATACCCTTTTTTTAGATTTGCACCAGAGGCTGATATCATTTCTGGCAATTTTGATTAAAAATGCAGTAAGTTTACTTCGTGACGTCGATAATAGTATTGTAGAGCAGTTTAACTCAATCATAGCTAAATTCATTGGGGGTAAACGGATTAATTATTGCAAGAAGAGATCCTACCAAGGAAGATGTGCTGCAGCCGTAGTGAGCCACAATACACAGCGACCTGTTTGTGTGATCCAAAAGCGGCTACTCCCTAGTTTCAGTCCAACCTCTTTGATTGCTAAAGTTGAAGAAAGGAGAGCGCACAAAAATCTGAAAAGGAAGCTGAAACCAAGGAAAATTAAAATCAGAGATAGTGATACTAAAGAGAACGCATCCTATGGGGAATTCTGTGAGAAGCCTGACATGAGCAACGACGATATAGAGGCTGCCAAGGTAGAATTCTTGAAAAAACTTGCAACAAACCGACTCCAAAATTTCCCAGATCGAGCAAGCCACAAAATCTCAGGATTGCAATTTGTGGCATCTTCATCGAAGAATGAGGTTGACTGCGTCTCGGTTTGGTGAGGTTTGTAGAAGAAGAGATACAACAAGTTGCAGAGCTCTAGTAAACGCCATAATATACCCAACCGAATTCTTTAGCAATGCATGTGACTATGGAAAAAAGCATGAAAGCGTGGCAAAATCAGAAATAGAGAAATCATATACGCAATCAGAAGTACAATCTTGCGGGTTGTTTATTGATAGGACCCATCCATTTCTGGCAGCATCGCCAGATGGTTTGATAGGCGAAAAAGGTCTGCTAGAAATTAAATGTCCATGGTCGGCTAGAGAAACGACCCCTGAAGAGGGCATTCTGAACAAAAAATTACGTTTTGGATAAACGATGAAATAAATAAAAAACATAAGTGGTATTACCAAATTCAAGGGCAGCTACACGTTGCACAAAGAGAGTACTGTGTGCTTGGTGTTTGGACCCCGTATGGTTTGAAAATAGACGTCATTCGAAAGGATGACGTTTTCTGGAAAAATGTAATGGAAGAGAAATTGAAATTCTTCTACATGAACTGCTTGCTCCCAGAACTGGTCGATCCCAGAAAAAGCAGAAATATGCCAATCCGCGATCCCGATGTGATCTTGAAGGCACAAGAGAACCGTTTGAACAAGAAAAAGAGTTCTTGAGAATTGGCTATTTTTGCTGTACTCGGGTACCAAAATGGAAGAGATTAGCATATTACATTGTACGCCGTTACTAACCCCTTCGTGTCGGCAAATGCGGTGTGCAGATCTCGCTTTAGCAGCGATGTGCGAGATGTTATGCTAATCTCTTCCATTTTGGTACTAGTACCAGATGTTCACTATTTATTGTATATTATGTATATATTGTTTATTTAAATAAAAGTCAATCGTCAGGCTCAATAGCACGTAGCATCGGCTAGCTTTATCTAGTCTGTTAGATGGCGAATATTGAAATGTCACATTGTCACGTTAAGCGCCACAGTAGAATCTGAAAATCCAGTCCACTGGGCCAAACTGTTATTATTGTCAAATTAGCTTGTTTTAAGTTTCGGTTTAATATTTTGACTTGACTTTTTTCTCAAATCCTATGATTTTTCCCCTTTTTTGATTTTTTTTTTTCTGAGGTACTAATTGTATGTCGCGTGGCCCACAGACCAGTCGGGTCGCGTGGCACATAAGTCGCGTCGCGTTTTTTGCAAGTCAAGACTTGCATCATGTCGCGCGTTGAGCACTGTTTCGTGTCATTTATTATTGAAGCGTTGTTGGTATTGTACGTCATCTTGTCCAAATTGCTTTACTGTTTATAAATTATTGAATACCAAATTTGTGATGTCGCATTACGAAGCGGAGCAAAAAAGGCTTGAACAATTGTGTAATGAAATACTATCGGATGAAGAGAGTGGCAGTACTGAGTTATGTGGGGATGTATACTTATCTGATGCGTATTCTCCAAGTGGTAGTGAATCAGATAGTAGTTGTAGTAATTCCATTATTATCTGTATTACTGTTTATTTATACCGGTATTTTGTTTATTCCTGCATAAGACTTTGTCAATCTGTTTAGTTTATAAGAGTTCCTCCATATTTATAAATTTTATTCAAATATATAGAAAAATGGAGCGTCAATTCCGAAGCAGCTAAACCCTTGTAAATGGCCTGAAACTCACTGCGTCGGAGCCGCCTTAAGAATTACCAAAAAAAAACCTAAAAACGTCCGAGGCGAAAAAAGCCTTGCCGTGAAACTTATTTAAGAAAATTGGTTCAACAATTATTGGCGCAATTTCCGACGCGGCAATATTCAAATAAGAAGTTTCGTTAAAAGGGGTCCCTTTTAAGAAAGATTAAGCAAAAAATGAATCAGAATACATTTCCGAGCAAATGCCAAAATAGTTCCTGGACTATTGCTTCTTGCCATTTATCTTGATAATACTTACCTCACTCCCATGCGATATAGTACCGTTCCCAGCCAACATAATTGGCTTGGCTACTTCAATGATCACAGTTCCGTTTGAAGCTCCTTTCAAGACATTCACCGCATGATCCAAGGTAGCTCTGCTCACGTCAATTTGATTCACCTTGAGGAGTCTATCGCCTGGTAAAATGGTACCTTCCAGATCTGCCGTGCCTCCCGGGATTATTGAGCGTATTACTATCACAATTTCTGAGGGATTTATAGGATCCTAGAACAACGAATATTGAAACAACATTCAAAGTTAATATAACAATAAGTATTTATTTCACTGCAAACCCGAGAAATCGCCACGGTTTGCTCCCTTAAGAATAAGTATTGCGTCTAGTCGAATCATATTAGACAAAAATGCCCCTGGTTGGCGAAATAATTGTAAAGTCTGGTTTTATTGATGGAGGTTATTCAAGGGGGTATTTAAAACATGGACGCATAAAATGGGTACAGCAATTTTTGTGAGAAAACTTTTTATTCGACAACAAAGAATGAGAAAACGTGTTATTTCTTCAAATGAGATTTTTAGGTATTTCTGAGACCACACGTAAAAATATACCACTAACAGTAAAAAAGGCAAAATGCAGGTTTTGGCACTTGCTAATGCGATGATAATTTCACGCAGCTAGTTGAGATTTTTCAAATCCGAAGGCTTCTTACCGCAACAAAGTTGGAGTCGGTTGGTCAAGTAGTTTCTGAGAGTTTCTAATTGCTTATCCCAAAACACCTGTCATCCGGCCATCACTACTAGTTTATTGAGCAAAATACATGGTTCGTTCAAGGGGCATTTTATAGCAGAATACACGGCGTTACCTTGCCGACATGAATCGCAAGCCATTCCGAAAGATAATTGTTATTTTTTTCTTCTAAACAAACTCAAACATTTCGTATTTGTAAGTAATTGAACGGTGTTGGATAGAAGAACAACTTTAATAAAAGCACAAGACAGCTACAATACAAGAAACAGTTGCATCGTGATTTCTAAACTACAAAAAATACTTTGCTCAGAAGTCATATCTTTTTAGGCCCAAAATTATATTATGAAATACCGGCTATAGTCAGAGATTCCAGTTAGTTAGGTATATTTAAAAGAAAACTAAAGGAATGGTTGCATGAAATTCCTAGAGTGAAATACATCAACTAGTTGATCTATGTAATACTTACTATTACTGAAATGTGATATGTTCAAAAACATTTCTCTCATAAATATTGTTTTTATCATTTTAAGTAAATTAAATGTTAAGTGTTATGGATTTTTGTGATCAGAGTAGACAATGTATAGATATAAGCATTCCCATGCATAAGGCTTTATGGGTTTTATATTTGATAATTTGCAATGTAATTGAGGGATAAGTCAATAGCTCATTTTATATATTCTTTTAACCGAAATAAGCATCTTTTACTTCGATTCGACAAGCATACATTATTATATACGAGTACATGTCAAAACAAATCGGATGTGACTATCACATTTTTTTGCGAAAAAAAAATTGTTTTCAAGATTTTTTCGAACTCTTGTGTATACATATTTAGAGCTGAAATTCTTACATGGTTACAGATGACCGTTAAAGTTTATAAAAAAAGTATTTAATACTGAAATGCTACGACTGATTAGTCAATGTTTAAGTGAAACTGAATTATTTGTCAACGTCACAGTTTTATTTAAGAGGCTTTGAAAAGACCTATTCGATACTGTTGCTTAAGTATTTTATGTCTAGCTAAAACAGCATAAGTCAAAAGCAACTGTAATTTTTCCGTTTTTATCATTAATTTTAATTTTATTCGATATTTTAACCTTTCAATAAATCTCAATTATATTTTTCTCTATCTATACCTGATAATCCAAAATGGAGAAACCAAGTCCTTTATCCGTCTTTTCGAGCTTCACAACAGTTGATTCTTCGCTCCACAAAGGTGCTTCACCGATCAGGTCCAAAGACCTGGATCTATTTTCTAGTTCGTGTGATGTATTTTCGTCTCCATTGGAGGACATTAGAGAACTTTGTGACTTGGCTTTCTCAAGATGATGTCTAGAGTCGCTTGAAGCTAATAGTGTGTGTAGGCTTCCTGCTAAAATTTTCTAGAAAAAATAATATCCATTTAGAAGGTAAACTGTGGAAACCACTTATAGAACTTGTAAAAAATGTACAGTGTGTTCATCTGAAGACTTCCCACCTCGGATTCAACGAAAACCACTGATTAAAATGGAAAACGCCGAGACATTTCGAAAGATTTATCAAGCGGGAGAACTTTTTGTCCAAAAACTACTTCACCACCCTTTCACGCTCTGCCCCCCAGAGGCATCCCCTTCGAAATATTAAATGACACGGGGTATCGAGTAATAGCTTGTTTGAAAGGTATTTCGAGGTCCTTTACTTTGACGTTTGATTTTTTTAAATCGGTCTATTAGTTTGCAAGAAAATTAGAAAAATCTTTGTTTATCTTAATTTGTTCAGATGGAAAACAAGTACATACGAAAATATCACTTTTTATTTAAATAAGTGGTTAAAATGTTGCCCGTTATGGTCCAAGCAATGATATAGGCGATGTTCAAACTTCTGATGGACATTTTCAAGAACATATTGTGGGATATCCTGGCAGCTTTCGATGATGCGTTGACGAAGTTCATCCAAACTTTCAAGTTGGGGAGTAAACACAATAGATTTCAAATGGCTCCATAGAGAAAAGTCTAATAACTTTAAATCAGGAGATCTAGCAGGCCATTCTATAGGCCCTCTTCGCCCTATAGTACATATACATGGTGGCGCATCGAAAACGAAACAGACGCATTTACTGGCAGCTCTGTTTATTTTTAAACGTTCAGACCCGTCGATTTTATTTTCGAGGGGGACACAAGTTTGGCAAAAAATCACGTTAGCACGTGCAGCCCCCTAAGCGGGGGTGACACCACCCCCAAAATCTTAAATGGAAAGGGGGGTCGAGTGATACCTTATTTTAAAGGTCTTTCAATTCCCTTTATAATGATATAAAATTAATGTATTTCAGTTCAGTAGTTTTGAAGATTTATTAATTTAAAGCTTAAATAAAACTAATACATCATTAGTGGAGATCATACATTTGGCAGCAAAGTAATTTAAAAATGAAGAATGAACTGACCCGTTAGGCAAGTAAATGTTGAAAATGGCCACCATGACTCTCCATGCATGGTTGCCGCACATTTTGCAATATTTGAGGAGTAATTTGAAGGGCACTCATTCACAATTCTTTGTCGCAGGTCTTCTAATGATTTGGCTGAGTAGCATAGATTTTGCTTTTTAAATTACCCCATATAAAGAAATCCAAAGGTGATAAATCTGGCGATCTTGGGGGCCATTCAATGGCACCTCTTCTACCAATCCATCGATCTGGAAACGTCTGATATAACTATTGTCGAACACGTAATGCGTAATGTAGTGGGGCACCATCCTGTTGGAACATCAACCTATTCGCAATGTACCGCCGATCATTCTGATTTTCAATTATGGCTGTTAATGCAGGATCTATGGCGTCTTCCAGTAATTCCAAATACATTTCACCGGTCAAATTTCCAGGTAAGAAAGAAGGACTAAATGATCGCCAAAAATACCAGCCCAATCATTTAATTTTTGTGGCTGCTGTGTAAATTACGGCACTGCTATGATGATGATCTAATATGTAGAGTTGCTTAGGTTTGCACTTTTCAATTCCTTTGTTCTAGCGTAGGTTATAAGTAAGAGATGCATGTAAACCAAGGTGACCAGTACTCATTCGTCTTCTGTTAAATAAAGTCGCTTTTTTAAAAAGTCGTTCGTTGTTTGCACATTCTTAATTGGCGCTGCGAACAGGATATCGGCGTACCGAATCGATAATCGGCGGTATTGATTCACGAGTATCGCTCAATCGAGACCGAAAAAGTGCAAAAAATCGTCCGGTGTGTTCGGGTACGATTTCAATCGTTTTGACGTCGATCACAAAGAACTTCGAAGGCTACACCGAGCAGGCACATCACCATCGAAGTACCAGGCCGAAATACTTGCTAAGTATTTTGGGAGCAGGCAACGACACTTGAGAAAACGACAGGAACTGACAGGAGCGGGGTGCTGGATCCACGGCAGGCAAGCTGTCAACCAGGAGGAGCTGTATTGGCCCAAGGAGGTATCTCAGATCTCTCCAAATGAAGCTGCTAGTGCCCAGTGTAGCGTAAGAAACAACATTTACAATTTTTGCTGTACTCAGTGATTTTTCCATTTATTTCTCGAAACTTTTTCGCCCTCTATTGCTTTACATTTATATATACTCGTAAAAGTTATCTATAAGTAAACTTATTTAGTGACTTTAATTGCACATATTTAATGTCCGATTCTGAATTTGAATCTGTAGTCGAAAATACACCTGTTAGACAAGTTATTTTGACACCCTCACGTCTTAATTTTAATCAGTCAACCATGTCTCTTCAAGATTTACAAATTAAATTCAATGTAGCTAAGTATATGGTACCAGAATATCATGGAGGTCACAGAGATCTAATTTATTTTTTGGATAATTCAGAAAAGTTTATTGCAGAATTTGTTAATACACCTTTTGTTTCGTATGCTTTCCAATACGTTATTTCTCAGCTGAAAAGCGAAGTAAGAGATTTAGTGCATCTAACTAGTCCGAGAACCTGGCCAGATTTAAAATCATTATTATTATCCAAATATAAAGATCCTAGAAATGAAGAAACTCTTCTCACCGCCTTATATACGTCAGTTCAGAAACCTAACCAAAAATATGAAGACTTTTATCAAGAAATTAAATTTAAGGTACAGAGCCTGAAAGAATTTGCAAATTTAGAATACCATGATAATCCCGATCATATCGCTTTTAAATTGAGAGACTATGATAGACAGTCTTTGAGCTCCTTTATCTCTGGTTTGAATGAACCATATAGGTCTTATGTAAGACAGCAAAATCCTACTACAATTGATTCTTGTGTTCAATATTGTCGTGATTATGATAATTTGCAAATGCAAGTTGATTACAAAAATTTCTTAAGAACGAGCCTATATAAACGACAACAGCCTCAGTCTCAGAATAAAGTACAAGCTTCAAATCAAAATTTCCAAAGGTCTGATTTTAATTTTTCTCAAAAGCCCAATCAGTTTAGAGCCCAAAATAGTCAAACTTGGCTAGAGCCACAACAAACCTTCCCTACAGGTCCCACGCAACTACCACCACCTAAACAAAATTTTAAACCTCATTACCCTACAAACATTCAAGCTTTCAGACCACCACAGAATGTTTTTTCCAAAAAACCCATTCCAGGCCAACAAAAAAGTAATCCTATACCTATGTCTGTATCTACAGCACGCACACCGAAACCCCAGCAAAACCCATATCGTCAACAAATGCCCACTAGAGTTAATGCCTTTCAAGTAGGTCCCAAACCAAACCATTATTATGTCGAAGAAATTACTCATCTTGAAAATGAGGAAGAACGAACTTTTGCAGGAACGCCACAATATGAATCTGAGGAATATACCCAAGATTTCGATTCAGACTATATCCCCGATGAATCTTATTTTGAAAACAATGACGAAGAAAATTTTCCTTCGACGAGCCAGTCTCAAAATTTGACTTAGATATAAATAATTATCAAAAAACCCACCTTCCGTATATTTTTTGTTCTCAGTTTAATCTTATCATCTTAATCGATACTGGTGCATCATCCTCCCTGATCAATCCAGAAATTGCTTTTAAATATTTTCCAGATCGTATTTATGATCATCCTTTTGAAATTAATTCATGTACGTCCAATTTTAGAGGTCAATATGCCTGTAAAATTCCCATATTTTCTGAATGGAAGAATAAAACTGAAATTGAATTTTTAATTCTTCCTTGGCATTCACGTTATGACTGCTTATTAGGATTCTATGATTTACAAAAGCTTAATTGCTCTATTGATTTGACTAAACATCAGATTATTACTGATAAATGTAAAATTACTTATAACACTTCTTTTAAGCCAATTCGAGAAAACAATCCAGTTCAGTATAGTTACCCGAAAAAATCATTAATTATCCGAAATTTGGATAATGGTTCTGTTGTTATTCCACCTTTGAAATTCAAAAATTCTGACGAATATTTTCCCGAATGTATCTGTAACGTAGAAAATAATGCTATTCAATATCCAATTGACATAAATCTTCTTGATGTTTCCAACCCATTTTTATCTGAACCTCTTGATGATTTTCTAATTGAAAAAGAATCTCCATTTTCTACTGAAAAATCCAATATACGTGTTGAAAATTTAATTCGTACGTCTCATATGAATAGTGAAGAAAAAGAAAAGATTATTAAGCTCTGCAAGCAATTCAAACAGGTATTTTTCAAGCCTAACGAACCATTAACTCTCTGTAATGCCACTGCACACAAAATTAGGTTAAAAAATGAAGACCCAGTTTATGTAAAAAATTATCGATATCCTTATCATCTCAAAAGGAAATCCAAAATCAAGTTTCCAAGTTATTGAATGATGGAATCATTCGACAAAGCAATTCACCCTATCAATCACCCTGCTGGATAGTTCCTAAGAAAATGGATGCATCCGGTGTTAAAAAATATAGGATGGTTATTGATTTCAGAAAACTGAATGAAATAACAATTGAAGATAAATTTCCACTCCCACTAATTGAAGAAATTTTGGAAAATTTAGGCAAAAGCATGTATTTTTCTACTATTGATTTGGCACAAGGGTTCCACCAGATCCCTATGGATCCTGAGTCTATAGAAAAAACGGCTTTTACTGTTGAAAATGGCCACTATGAATATGTCCGTATGCCATTTGGGTTAAAAAATGCCCCTGCTACCTTTCAACGTATGATGAATACTGTATTGTTAGAATATATCAACGTTTTTTGTTTTGTCTATATGGATGATATCATTGTTTTTTCAAAATCCCTAGACGAACACATTTTGCATCTTCGAAAAATATTCCAAAAACTGAATCAGTTTAATTTAAAAATCCAACTGGACAAATCTGAGTTCCTGAGAAAAGATGTTCCATTCTTAGGTCATGTCATCACGCCACAAGGCATACTTCCAAACCCAGATAAAATCAAA